CAAGCCTTACTCTGGAAGAACCGACAATATAATGGAGGGGGCAGATGATGGTCACAATGTATCAGGATGAGCTGTGTTAGAGAAATAGGATATGCTCTGGAAACACTGAGGTGGGGGATACGCTAAATATACAGGATGAGCTATATTACCTTGCCGATGAGTGGGGACAGGGGTTAATAAATAGATTACCAAGAGGACTTTTTGGGGGGAAAAGTACAGAATTATTCTATTTTAGTAACTTTATTGAGATATTATTCACTTAACATAAAATTCACTCTATTACAGTGAAACAGTTCAATGGCTTTTAGTATATTCAGAGTTTGTACAGCCATCATCACTACCCACCAAAGAAACGTGATACCAAGAGCAGTCACTCCCCCACCTTTCCCTCAGTCTTCCAGCCCTAAGCAACCACTTATCTAGTTTCTGTATCTCTATGCTTACCTATTTGGGCATTTCATAATAATGGGCATTTGTGTCTGGCTTCTTTCACTTAGCATAATGTTTTCGAGGTTAATCCATGTTGTGACATGCATCAGCACTGCCTTCATTTTTGTTGCTGAATTGGATTCCATTGGATGGATATACAGCATTTTGTTTATTCATTCACCAGTTGTTGGATGTTAGGGTTGTGTCCACTTTTTGGCTATTTTGAATAATATTGCTATGAACATTCACGTACAGGTTTTTACGTGGCCATATGCTTTTAGTTCTCTTAGGTGTATGCCTAGGAGTTGAATTGCAGGGTCATATGGTAACTCTTGTGCTTAACATTTTTAGGGATTGCCAAATTAGTTTCCAAAGTGGATACACCATTTTAATCATTCCAAGAGCAGCGTATGAAGGTTCCAGCTCTTCACATCCTTGCCAATACTTGTTATTGTCTGAGAACAGAATTGTTTTGAATGAAAATACAAAGCCATTAAAACGGAAAAAATTCCAATTAGATTATGTTATACTCATTTAAGACGGCCCATGGAGAAGTCATGTGACATTGGAACCTAAAGCTGAATGTCGCTTTGTAGCTCTGTGTACAAAACAACTCTGTTGACGTCTAATTATCTTATCATTAATGTTCACCAGGTGGTTAGGAAATGCTGGTTTTCTTTTATGTCTAATTGAGAGGTAAAGGGTGGTGAAATGATTATGTGTGTAGTGCTGTTGAAAGTTAAACTCATTTCTGACATGCAATTAAATATAATTGAAATAGGACAAACTGAATAACAAAATTAATTTGCAAAATAGAGTATGTACAGATATTAAATGTATGTTGTCCCCTAGAATATTTGGGTGCTGAGTTGGTATTAGAGCTCAAGCCCCATACTTTTACTTATTCGGCATGGTTCCCACCTGCCCACACTTGCCTTCTCTTTTTACCATCCTTGGCATATCAGAGGAGTTTGGGAGACATTACCCCGCCAACACCCTGAGCAGAGAGGATTGTTTTCTGAAGCACTGGGGTTTAATGTGGTCAGAAAGGAAAGTAGGTTCTCTGGACCTGTGGGGCTTTCTCAGACTCAGATTTCTTTTTTATGAATATAAAAGACCTGACAGTGATACACACACACATACACACACACAAATTATATATTATTTTAATATATTATTATAATATTATATATTATATATATAATATATACATATATATATTACATATATATAAAATCCGACAGCCTCCCCACCACCACCGCCTTGTCCATGTCTAGCTCTTCAGTGACTTCCCAGCACCCATTACTGGTTACGCCTCAGGAGCTCAGGACACCATGCAGTGGTCTGTGTGATCTGGTACCGTCCCTCTTTAGCCTTAGCTGCTCCGGTTTTATCTGCACTGAATGTTTGTGGCTCCATGGGGGCACATGCCCTCGTCATACTCTCTTCTTCTTCTTCTAGTGTTAGTTTCTTCTGCTGGGAGTACCATTCTCTCTTTGCAGAGTCCTTAGACACCACCTCCACCAGGAAGCATTCCAGAGCCCTCTAATCTCTAGTAGGTCCCAAGGCACTGATATGGGTGCCTGTTTACGATGGTTAAAAACAAAGAAACAGAAAAGGTCCTTGGCCTTGTGACGCTTACATTCACCTGAGAGGCACAGACAACTAACATTAAACATAATAAGTAAATACCCACCTTGCAGAGTAGAGGGTGATAAGTGTGTGAAGGTGATGGGAAATACACAAATGATTAAGCGGAGTAATGGGTACGGGAAACATTGGGGATGAGACGTGTAGGGGTCAGGAAAGGTGGAAGGCTATGTTCAAGAGGGTGGCTGAGTGAGCCTTATTGAGGAGGCCTCGTGGGATGAGGGAATCTGCCTTGTGAACATCCAGGAAAGGAGCTTTCCAGGCAGAGCCCACTGCCAGCGAGTGAAATTTCCCCTTGTCAGAGCATCTGCATTAAGTTGATAAAATTCCAGCCATCGAGGAAATTGACAACTTAGTTTTCCCCAGCATCCTTTCTATAGACAAATATATATTTCCATTTGGATTTTTGAAATTCTAAAGATAATTTCAAGACAGATCACTACTTTGCCATCTCCCTTCCCCATATCCCTTTCCAAAGCACATTTTGCAGACTAATAATAGTCTAGAACTGCCAGGCAGGAATTACTGTATTTCTGTGTCATATGGGTCATCTAATTTTCTTTCTCCACCATAAGATCTGGGCTCATGTGAAATACAAGCCCCATCAACATTTTGTGTCTCCAGAGGACCTGTACTGCTTTTGCTCTTTCTTCTCTGAGTCACGTTCCTCTGTGTTCTGCCTTCTCTCAGTTTTTAATTTCCTTACATATCAACACTTATGGATGTTTCCTGATTTCTCCTTTGTTCTGAGTCCCTAGATAGTGTCTGTGAATTCTTCATCCTGTTTGAAAACCCAGACTGAAGACATGTTCTCCCAGCTCCTTCATATTCTCTTCAGCAGCTTGAATTAAATAGATACATTCCTGGTCCTTCTCGTTCAACAAGAAGATCTCGAGCACAGCCCCTGCACATGATTTTAAGAATCTTTACTGCTCCCACATTCACTGCTTAGATTTGGGCTTTGGGGTTAAGTACGCTTGACCACTAAAATTTTTAGAAATAATTCTGCTGTATTACTCAGTGTTTTTCACTGCGATCTTTTAAGCAACATGTTTTTTCATGTCAGTATTTTATATTTCTAGATGGTCTAGGAAGCAAACTATGAGTATTTCCATTCATGGATTTTCGCATTGGGGCTTCTTGCTCTAACAACAAAATAATCTCAGTTAAAGGAATTGGCTCAAGACCTGTAACTGTAATATATATATATATATTTCTGGATTAAAAATGTGTTCTTCCCACTTCTCTTGTGTATCTTTTATTTCTGTGTATCAGAAATTTTAAATGTCAGGAGATCATCTTGTCTTACTGGAATGTCTCATGCTGGGATTTCTTCACAAGATACATGTCTTAAGTCAAGGTGGTGGAAGTGTTGTCTCTTTCCCCCTCAACATAGTCCCTTCATACTCCCACATGACAGTTGGGGATGTACTGACTTGCGTCTCCACAGTCAGGCTTTGGTTATCTAGATGCTAGGAAGGACATTTAATGTCTCTGTGGGTTTTAGAGAAAGACTTACTTCATCTCATATCCTGTATTTTATTACTGTGTCTAAATTGTGGGTTTGTGCTGTTGTTGTGGTGCACTTTTATTCTTTTAGTTCAAAATTTTAATCAAAATGATGATTGTACACAATTTAAAAGTCAAATAGTATTTACAGTGCGTATCACAGAAAACATCCTGTTACTCCATGTCTTTCTACTAGTCTGCTGTCCTTTTCATCCCTCCCCACCTGTGATCTTCTCTTTCAGCTTCATTACCAGTATTTTTCTGGTGTCTAGTTTCCATTTTATTACATTAAATTGTTCTATGTCTAGATATTTTTAAATGTTCATTTTTATTTATGGTGGAAATTGAGGGTATAGCCTTCAAATACCCTCTCATTCCAACAGTTGTATCAAGTGATATTAAAAAAATACTTATGTTCAGAAGGACTCTGTTGATTCTAAAATACTATTAGAGTGTAATATTTTAGAAAATATTGCTGAGGATGCATTGCCAAGGAACTGCATTAAAAGCAAAATATTAGAACCAGTAGGTGTTTTTGTGTATAATTTAAGAGGATAACAATACTAAGAACAATTTTGACTTAGCTGCAGTGTTAAAATAGCACATGAGCGAAATCTTCATTTACTCTTGTCTTGCAGTAGTCAGTGGATGAGTTTTGTTGTTTTTTAAACCCTAGTCAATTAGTCTTAATCACCAAACATTTTATAGGAGCAGAGGTGAAAGTTTAACCCTACTTAAGAGAACAAAAGTGCTAAAGACAAACTGTTCTGAGAAGCTTAGATTTGCATGAAAAGCATCACAAGGGAAGAATTGTGATTGTCTCAGCATGAGAGAGGGAACGTATTTTTAAGATAATTGGAGACTGTCTTTTATGTGCTCTCTTTGGTTTAGTTTTGATTTCATGTACTTTAATTTGTTGCTATTTCTTAATTTTTCTGTTAATATATTCCGAAGAATGTAAAACACTTCTGAGGATCTCATTACTACTTGTGAAATTGCCTCTTTCTGTACCACTGGGTGTAATTTTTTCTGTTACTCAGTCTTACAAGAAAAAAGCATCTTAGATAAGGCCATTATATTGTAGCAATCTGACAGTAGTGATTACCCTCAAAGTACATTTTGTGTTAAATTCAAATATACTGTAGCAATTTCTCTTAGGTGAATATTGTAAAGTTTTGGAGTTTGGGTGGGGGCTTTTTTGCATACAGGTCCTACAGGAATCATCTTTTTGCTTTTATTCATGTTTCATCATTCATATTTGTAAAGTTTGCATTTCCACTTCTAACCTCACTTAAATGCTGGTGGTTAGCCATTCCCTTAACAAGTGTGGTCAGAAGTGGTCTAATTGAAGATGTTCCATGACTTGATGAACACATTAGGTTACAATTCAACTTTTGCTTCTCTTTGCAAAGGCACTGAGACGTGAGTTAAAGGAGAAAGAGTATTCTGTCCTGAATGCTATAGACCAAGCTCGAGTTTTCCTGGCTGATCAGCCAATTGAGGCCCCTGAAGAACCAAGAAGAAACTTGCAATCCAAAACAGGTGAGACTGGTTTCTTTAGTACGTCACGAAAACACGTGCGAGGAGGACAAAACACCAAAATCAACTAGGAATTTTCTTACAGCATTTCCAGACCTGGTATCTTAAAATTTTCTTATAGTATTTCAGGATCTGATACTAAAATTTTCTTCTAGATATTACTTCAGTCACATATGTCATTATTTAATAAATATCTAGATCCTTAATTAAAAAATAAAGTGCCTATATACTTCAATATCATTTTAAAAGGAAATTAACTGGAAAAATTGATTTATTAAAAAGTATATGTAATTAAAATAATTTTTTAAGGAATAAAAAATTGCATTTGCTATATTTGAAGAAACTACATGATAAATAACTGTAAGTAGGAGAATATTTAAAATATGAGGGTAAGCACATACATTATTTTAATAGCTATAAAGTAAGTTTTTTTAACTTCTCTTTTTCTAGATTACTTTTTTAACTTGGACACTGAAGCACCTTTCTTTTACAAGCAGACAACAAAATGTGTTTAAGCATAATAACTCTTTATGTACTTTGGATTGAAACTGGAACAGTATCTCCCTTACTAGCAAATAGTAATAAATCACATAGCAGATTTAAGAGATGAAATTGAGGGCCAACATATATCTTTATTTTGATTTTTCACTGCTGGCGTAAAAGCATTCTGATGCATTTTAAAAAATAAACATGCCATTCAGGATCTCTTTTCATCATTCACTTTCCGTAGTAGGAGCAGACCCGAAAGACTGCCTGAGGCTGTGTCCAGTGTAATTTGTTTCTTGTCAAGGAAGTATGGTTGAAAAACGCTCTACCTGTAGCTGGAACAGGATCAGACATTTGGAAAGTAACTGTTTTCCTCCTCAGCCTTTCTCTGCGAAGCTCTACTTCAATGGGAATAAGTTTCCTATGAGGATCATGATTTTCTTGACTCTTTAAACTTAGTTTTGTGTGTGAGTGTGTGTGTGTGTGTGTGTGTGTATACACAGAGACACACACGGCACAACTGTCATCTCTTCTAATGTTGGTTTTTATTTTCTGCTGGTGATTTCACTGTCTTTCCAGTTAGCCCCTGGGGACCTAAGTCACTGTTGAGTCTCCACCTTCTACAATCTGCAAATCACTCATGACTGTTATTTTTGTCTTTGGAGAACTATGCCTTCTGAGTACTCTGTTATACACGTGTCATATATACACATGCATGTGTGCATGCAGCACACGTACACACGGTAGGTGGCTGAATGACTTGAATACTGGGCACTCTCAGGTGTGGGTAGGCAGTGATTAGGTTCAGGGAAGAGGAGTGACCACGCTGGGGCAGGATCATGGGAGCAGCAGCCCAGCAGTCAGGGTAGGGGAGGCAGAGCAGCCAGGCTTGGGGGGCATGGGGAGCGGGTAGTGTCAGGGGCCCTGCCTGGATAGGAGGTAGGAGTGAAGAGCTGTGATGTGCCGTCTAGTTCAGATCACAGAGGACCTGGAACGTCAGACAGGGCATTTCCCCTTAATACAGCAAGAAGAAGGCACTGTTTCACTTGTTTTTGTTTTTATTTTTTTAAGCTTGGAAGAAAAATGAGAAGTTCACTTGTGTCACCTTATCCAATTTAAAGTCTACCTTAAATCTGCTTTCCTCATCTCCTTGCTTCCCCAGTACTTTTTGGAGAATAGAGGAAACATTTTTATGATCAGCTACTTCATAGCGGTAGAAGAATGTTATATGACTGAAGTTTCCCTTTGCTATACATTTCCTTCCTCAGTGGTTAGGCAGTTTAAAGGGTAAAAGAATATTGCTTTTTGAGCTCCTGTTTTGCTGTTACATTCAGGACATTTTCATAGCCCATCTTTGGGAAGCAAGAAAAAAAGTCATGTCAATTTAACTTTATGATTTTTGTTTTTGTTTTGTTTTGTTTTAATGATTAGCAATTTTCATACTTTCTCCCTTCCTGATACTATTTTGTGTAATGCTATCTGACTATACCTGTTGCTAAACGTAAATGAAAGAAAATTACCCATAATAGCTTTCATGCTTTGTTATTTACTGTATTTTATAAACAACTGCTATCAGAAATAGCATTTGAACATGAGTTATCTTATGTGATGCTACTGAAAGTACTCAGTGTTGGAGGGAATAGAACAGGGAGAAGCTGCGTAATAATGTGTTGATTCCAGTTAATAAGTATTTATTGAGTGTGCTGTGTGTCGTGTGCCACGGGGACACACAGGATGAATCTCTTTACTTTCAAGTAACTATTCCAGAGAATACTTCTCTCCATGATTTTTCTCCCCCAAAAGCCTTTTCTTCCTAGCTTCTTTTTTCCTATGATCAATTATCTTATATGTGTATAGATGCATTTTATGATAGCTTACAGAGTTTTATTTCATTACTGTATAGCACAGGGTGAGTTGCTGTCAGGAATCTTTTAATTGATAAATGCTGCTAAAAAAAAACCAAACTAAATTATTTCAACCAAATGATCTGTTGCTGACAAAGAATCTTATCAGACATGCTCTGCTAGAGATTTTCTTTCTTCCCCCGGTTTTATTGACGTATATAACATTGTACAAGTTTAAGGTGTACAATGTAATGATTTGATATTTGTATATATTGTGAAATGATTACCCCAGTAAGTCTAGTTTACACCCATTGCCTCACATACACACTGTTTTCCTTGTGATGAGAACTTTTAAGATCTACTCTCTTAGCAACTTTAAAGTATGTATATTTTAAATATTTAAAAATCGCTACTGACATTAACAGCCCTATTTTAGGCCTTTACTGTCTTTTGCTAGGGTTGGTTGCAATCCTTTCTAAATTGGCATGCCTGCATCAACTTGGATGCTGTAATGACTATCTAAACACAGAACTGGTGCTTGCTCCCTTGGTTTAAAAACCACTGGTAGCATATATACAGTGTACTGCACATTTTTTTTTTTAGTTTACGTATATGTACTAATTACTGTTTCTAAGAACAGATTAGATCTTTAGCTTTTTAAACTTACATATTTATCAAAGGATAAGCCAACATATATATTTATATGCAATGTAATATGTATGTGCAGTTGAACTGTAATAATTCTACCTAAAACTGGAAAAGGAGAAGACAAGAGAAAACAAACAAACAAACAAACACTGGTAGCCTCTGGAATGGAATCTGAGCTCCTTCACTGCCATACGGAGCTACACAGTGACTTGGCCTCAGCCTTCCTGTGCTGTAGCACCTCATGCCTCTCTCGGCTCCAAACTAATGTCCATTTGACACCCAGCTTCTCATGATGTCCTGCAGGTAATGGTCTTCTTGCCTTTATGCTGTTGCCCATCCTGTTTTTTGCTACACATAAGTCCCTCTTACCTGATTTCCAATCCTTCCTCCTCTACTGGCCCAGCCCCTGCTCTTTCTGCCCCACTCACTGCAGGCTTCGAGTCTTCCTGAACCGATTCCTCTCCCAGCCTTCTCCCTCCCTCCCTGGTACCCTGCCATCTCTCGGAATGTTTCTAATATCTGTGTCTGAAAGTCAGCCCTTTCCTTACTTAGTGACCTTTCTCGTTTACTGAGAATATGAAAGAGTGTAAAAAAAATTATCTTAGCATCCAAGATAGATATTATACAGAAAATATAGTGAAGATCCTGTTAACTCATAGAAAGGCCACTTAGCTCTTACTTTAGACACTGTTGTTAACAGGTTAACTTGTTTTCCAGTGAATTATGAGTATGTAGCAAGATGGAAATGACAGGACTGGAAAAGGGTGACAGTGACAAATGACTTCTGGCAGTCTGACTGCAATGAGGAGGAAAAAAATTATAAAAAGCTACACGAGAATTTGAAAATAAAACAGAGTAGTCTTTGAGGCTTTTTACAGTAAAAGAAGCTGAAGCTATGATTTGTGTTCTGTTTTTGAAGACAAAATATAAATCAGTTAAGAGAAGGAATAGAAATTTATACTATATTTTAGTAAATTTCCTTCCAAAATGGCTACCATAAAAAAATAGGGCTAAATGAATGAAATATAGCTGTCTGGAACACTCAACTACCCGGAATCACTCATTCTACTGTAAACAGTTATAAATTATAATTGTAAACAGTTATAAAATATAATTTTTAATTGAACTAAAATTATCTGAATAATTACAGAAATTTTACAAAGTTCACACCTTTGTCAGTGGTTCCCTTATCTTGAGGAGCATGGAATTACTTAACTTGATTTGAGTTGTATCATGTCAATATATAATATTCCCTTCAATGCAGTTGAATTGTTTTTCATTTGATTTCAATCACCTAGCTTTACCTGCTAAATAGTACAACAGTGGAACGAGAAATGTCTCATCATCATTCATATTGTTCCTTGTTCTTCTCAAACCACTTTTGTGTTCTCTTAACTATCCTAATGAGTTGGGCAGATCATACAGTATGCCTCCTTTAAAAAAAATTAAATAAAAACACAAAGGCTAAGAAAATATTGTGGTCAGACCAAGGTCATGTAGGGTCAATCCAGGAACAGAGCACTAGACTTCTCTGTTGGTGACCTTCCTTAACCGCCATATATTTGGCTGGCTTTCAACGTATCCCTTCATTTTTATCTTCTCTCTCTCTGTCTCTCTCACTCTCTCTCTCTCTGCTCATTGGCCACTGACCTCCTGGCTCCTTCTTGACTTGCAATTTCTAGAGCCTCTTAACCCTGCACAAGTGTTTCTTGGCTTCTTCCTTCTTTGCCCAACCTTCCTCGCTGTTCCCAGTCCCAGACTGAATTCCTTTGAAACTCAAACAGCTGCACAGGGAAAAGTAGATGTGTAGACGGCGGTGAGGCTTAGCCACAGTCAGCCTCACTCCTGCCTCCACCCCTCTGGAGGTAATCAGAGAATATACGTGCCTTCTCACCTGTTCATTACCCACAGTTCAGGTCAAAAGTCAAATTTGCGCAGGGGAGTTAAAGCCTTACGTCTGCATCCCCCTCTCCACAACTCACGTGAATGCAGGCAGGTGCATATGCATATGCAGACGCAGACGCG